TTTTGGTCGAGTCCCACCCACCCACCCCCCCTCTTATGTTTCCTCTTTCTTTTTAAATATATGATTCTTTTTTGATATAAAAAAACCCCCGAAGTGTCTCAACCTCACTAAAAAAAACCATTTATCAGTAAACACTCCATAGGTTATGATTATCTTCTTAGATATTTATTCAAGTATACAAAATATATAATATAATTTACTTTAAATTGAGATCGAGTCTTCCTGCATTTGTCTAAGGTTGACTTTAATTTCTCTCTTTTCTTAATTCACTCATTTCCTTAATTTTTTTTAGAAGGATATATAATTTTTTTTTGTTTACAGAAGTTTGAACTTTTCATTGGTATAAATTTTAGGGTTAATAAAATTTTATCCTCTGCCATATAAAGATTACGGTTGTTTAACCCTTAGGGGATATGACACACTCCTAATGCCTATGTGTCTTGAAAAGTGGCATTTTTTTTATTTTTTTAAAGTGACGGATGGACAAAGTTATGCCACCTCGGTAAATGGCTTTTATAAAATTACAATAGATATTATTTTTTATTCCTTCCTATTTTTTGCCCTAAGTTGAAATGCCATTGAAGGAGAGCTCGAAGCAATCATTCAAGCCATCGTTCAAGAAACTCCCATCAACACCATTGATCAAGGTACAAAATCGTTCAATCTACTACATGGGTAAGTTCATTGTTAGTGTTCATCATGTAGGGGGCTTGTCAGAGAGCATACAATTTTTATAGAGGTGGGGTTCAAATGCATGTATACGATCTAGATAGCGAAAAATGGGGTGTCTCTGATGTGTTAAAAATGGTACTTGACTAGGGATACAAAAGCAATGACTTTAGGGCTTGGAGCAAACTTGAAGGTAAGATGATTGCTATTTTGAAGTTAACAGGGATGACCATGCTTGGGATGTTTCTATTTTTTCTATTGGTGAGAACACAAAAGGTTATTTATACATCGAGCATGATGTGAAGGACATCCGAGTCAAGGTTGTTGAGCCTCGATGCATTAAAATGAGTGTAGAAACTGAATCAAGTGATGAAGAAAGTGATGATGAAGCATCAAGGGTTAGGTTTGATGATATAGATGAAAGAACGACTGCAATGGATGATGGTTTGAATGTATTTGAATTGAACAAGCCACAACAAGGTACAACTAGATATAAAGTTAATGGGAATTCATATAGGTTTAAGATGTGTGCCTCTAAGTTACCCATAAAGATGTCTCCTGCAAAGAAGGGTAAGGTTATTGTTGTTGCACCTGCAAAGATAACAAAAGAAATTAAGGAAAGAAGGTCAAAAGGGGATAAGAAGAGTAGGGTTAAAGAAAGAGGGGATAATGAAATAAGGGATAAGGAAGAAGATCAATACTTGAGTGATGAGTTGGGTAGTTTAGATCCATATGAATCTGAAGATGAAAAACTTCCAAAATATGAGAAGTTTATGAAGGAACAACTAGGGAAGGACTATGAGTTTAAGCTTGGAATAGAATTTAATTCATTGAGTGATTTCAAGGATGCTATAATTGAGTAGCCAATCTTGAATGGAACGAAAAATTACATTTGTCAAGAATGAAAGTTGTAACACCCTTCTAATCTCACGAAATTAACGATTAATTTAATCATATAAACACAACCACAAGGGTGTCACACTTCATAAAACATCACAATTATCATGCTCCATAATATGAGTTACACAAAAATATACGTTAAATCAAACATACTCATTTATGAGGGTTTTACGACATCAAATTCTTTTAAAAACAACTCAGTGGATTCACTATGAATAAATTAAATTATAATTCCACAACTAAAATTGAGACTTAAACTCCAACATTCATAACATCAAAAAAAGATAAGTATCGTCAAAAGTCAACTCAACATCTTAGAGTATCACAATTAAATTATTAGCAAATACTTCGAAATAAACATCATAAGAAATTAAGAAGACAAACGTCAACCTCAACCCAATGTTACATGAATCAGAGCAGAATCTCCACTACTTAAAATGATAAACTGAAACGAGCTCCAATAGTTAGCTTTCTCTTATTTCCTTGGAGTCTACTCCTGAGTATATGTGCGTTACCCACGTGGAGGCAATATTCAAACTGAAGGGGTGTGAATTCACTTAAATAATAATGATATAGAATGTAAGATAGAGTAAAATATTTACACAAACATGCACAACAACATATCACATTCTCACGCCCAAATCATCATTGATATCATATACAATAACACCATCGTCACTCATAGTCATAAACATAATCGTAATCACAGTATATCGATTACATTCATACACCCAACATTTATATCTCAACAAATATACATATGACTTATTATGCAATGCGACTCAACTATGCAACTTGATGCATATGCATATGGTACCACCTCAACAAAAGGTTCCTTAGCGAACTGGGTTCACCCTACTCGAATCCCGAATCCACCCTGCTTAGATTCGGGACAAGCCACCAGTCCACCCTACTTAGATTGAAACTTACATCTTTTATCAAAAACAACGATACCATGAATGCATGTCAAAACACGTTAATACAACAACAACATAATGTTTAAATTCTGCATCCGACAATAAACAAAATATGCATTGACCCAACAATAATACTTCTCCCTACTCAAACTATTATTCACCAATCACAACAACAACATCAATATTATTCTCAACATCATAGCATAACAACATCATAACATAACAACATCATAATCATCACCAACATATACACAATAACATCATAGTCATCATCAACCTCAATAACATCATAACTTATAGTCGTTCAACACAACATCATCAATATTCAACATTTACATTATTAACCAATTATAATTAATATTCTCAAACATCATATTATCATCACAACATTAGACTCTCCTAATTCGAAATTTTCTTGATTAAATAATTTCTAAGTTATTAATTTATTCTATACCCTTAACTCATCAAATAGTCTCAAAATCATGCTTCCTACTAGTCACATATCATATTCGAATAATTATTTAAAATATCAAACATATTCAAAATCAAACAAACAAATACATTCTGGAAATATTAGAGAGTCTATTCTAAGAATATGATTTTTATATTAGGACTTAATACACCAATCGATCCAATTTAATCAAACAACAAGAACGGGTACTCGAATCGGGAAGAATATTTCGCCTGACTTCAAAATGACGCCAAAGATTATATACATATGATAAAACTATGAAAATTTTCAGTTGAAAATATCATTAAATCCTATTTCCAATGCAATTGACCACATCCAAAACAGACTCAAGAGACTCTAGTTACACTTGAAACAAGTTGACCAACGCATGACTGAAATCACCAACATTTATGGTATAGAAACTAGAAATCTGCTATTGTGGTAGTACTCTTAGACCCAACTTCTTCACTTAGACATAAAGATTATCGCGTTAGCTTTCTAGCATAACTGACGGGGCATCAAACAGACTTATGGAGCTCAAGATATGCCCAAAATAAGTCGATCAATACTCTCCTGCGATTTCCTTACATGAATTTGACTCCTAAACTCATTTCTTTCAACTTAAACTTATCCCAAGCATCCCCTAACATGTCCAAATAACTTATTTCGAAAATCTATTATTATAGGTCAATTATCTACTGTTATTTCACTCTAAACCTATCGACCAATATATTATTTAACAAAATTTTCACTCTCAAAATTCATCAATAAAGTAATATACTATTATTATTTGTGTCAAACCATCAACAGGGTAATAACCTTTAACACCAAGACGTAACACTACTCTAAAACATATCAGAGTTACTCAAGTAGTAACCCTGACAACTCCAAGATAACAAATCTCTAACACCAAAACAACTTATTTCAAGTTTCTGACACAATAACCTAATTTACCATTATAAACTCATCACATACTCGTCAATTCATCATCAAATTAAACAATTAAACAAATATAATCATGGATTCCATTAATTTCAAAAACACAACAACAACATGTCAACAGACAAAATTGTAATTCACATCATGGCATACAAAAACAGAATTATTATTAAATTTCCATCAACATTTATTATAACTCAAAGGAAGAACAACCCGTATAGGAGGTTAAAGGTCCCTCCACTCTACCATTCATCATACTCCTATTATTGAACCAAATTATGACCCTTACCTTAAATTCTTCTTGCAAAATTCTTCCAAGCTTCTTCAATAGGTGCTCTTTCTATACCCTCGCCTTCTCTCTCTTCTTCCTCCAATTTCTCACGTATAATGCAACTGATCTCTTATTCTCTTATTTCCCCTTTTTCTAATATAAAATATCATTTATTATACTTTTCCTCTTCTAACTCTCTATTAAGTCCGTATTATTCTCCCAAATGTCAAATTTACCCCATTATTTCTCTGTTCTCTTATTTTAATTAAATAAGTCACAAAAAATATTTCTATTTTAACTATTAAATAATTCCAATAATTTTAAATTACTCCACTAATCTCTAATTACTCTCCACGCCCTTCTACCTCGTGGTCACACCTCTAACCATACAAAATAATTTAATTAAAATACTCTTTATTATGATTATTAAATAATTTCTATCAACTCCAACAAGCCACAACTTATTCTCTGCTCCTCTATCTATAGGACATACACCCATACCCTCTTATTTATCTAATTATCCACATACAATAATTAAATAAAATACATATAAATCACAAAGAATTCACAAATAACTCAATTGAAATAATTTAATAAAAATTGAGGTGTTACAAAAGCTATAGAGTGAGGGTTAAATGCAAGGGAAAATGTGGGTTTTTTGGATATGTGCTCTAAAGTATGTGGCATTAAGACTTTTCAAATAAAAACATGGGAGGACACCTAAACATGTGCTAGGTTTTTAAACAATATCACTGGAATGTCTAAGTGGGTTGCAAAGGCAGTTGTAAACAAGATGCAGACAACTTAGAAAGTGAGAATTGCTGATATAATTCAGGACATGAGAAAGAACTTCTCAATTGGGATTACACCAAGTAGTCTTCTTCCTTTCAATTTGCAACAACTTCTTCAATTTCTCAACTTTTTTTGAGCTTGACTCTTTCCCATATTCTTTTTCAAACTCTTTTCTGAAATTGTTATCGAATTCTTTAAGATACCCAAGTATTACTTCACAATTGTTGCACTCAATATCTACACCGGTGAACCTTTCCTTATTTCGAGTGTTCATCAACAGTTCATCAACTTCGTCGTCCCAAATGAACAACTCACAATGTATATCACTCTGCAAAAATATTCAAACAATTGATTCAAGAAGAAATTGGGGATGAATGGATTTACAATAACCTGTATCAATTATTACGAACCAATGATACGTACCTTTCCAAAGTTTTTGCATCTTTAGAATTTCTCTTAGGGTTTTTGTGGATATTCGAAACACACATATTCATTGACATATTGCAACCACGTCTGGGTATTTCTCTTTTATTTGGATTCCCAATAAAAGAATTTCTCCTACCCCTATTACAATGACCTATGGAGAATACGAGATGCAAAGACCTATCGAGAAAGATGACTGAGAGAAGTAATGGATATTGTAATTTTATAAAAGTCATTTACTAAGGTAGCATAACTTTGTCTATCTGTCATTTAAAAAATATATTTTAAAAAATTGTCACTTTTCATGACACATAAACATAAGAAATGTGTCGTACCCCAAAGCTAAACAACCTAAAATTTTATATGACAGAGTTATTTTTGCAACAAAAAAAAAAGTTTTTATAGGAGATAAACTAAAATTCACCTATATAACCAAAAATAAAATTATATTAACTCTAATTTTTATTGAAATCAATAAATAATTTAAAGAGTGTTGAACTTTTGACATACCAATTCGAGCAATCTTACACTTTAAGCTTACCTCGGTTAGATTACACTTCGAAGACATGTTTCAATAAATTTTTAACTATTTTTAATTTAATTTAAATATATTTAATATGAATAGTTAAATGAGCTTTTGTAATTAATATTAAAAAATACAATTTAATAAATTCGGTTTGTATCTAATAAAAAATTATAAAAAATTAATTGAACTCAAATAAAAAGAAACTTAGGAAAGATATAAAAGTAGTTTTGTGTGTCCGGAGATAAAATACGTAATTTGTCATGATATGGTAGATAATGCTGTTGAAAAATATGTTTTTTAATCAAATTATCAATTTAGTCCCACCCATTTTATCTTGTTGTAGCCTCTCAAGTATCAATTTTATTTATTCATAAAAAATATCAAATTGGTCCATACTTAATTCTTTATTACTCTCATTTCTCTTTAAATTTTTGTCAAAAGAAATGGACCCAAATACTCCACCGTTGTCATTTACCAAAAGTGGAGAGAAATCAAATTGTTATGAAGACACATGAACTACGTTTAGCCTCACTCAACTCAACAAAACAAAAAAACTATGTTGATTAAATCAACAACACCTTCAATAATTTTAAGAGATGTAAATGAGGATATAAATGAATATTAATAGGGATAGATAGTATCACATATATATATATATATATATATATATATATATATATATATATATATATATATATATATATATATATATATATATATATATATATATATATATATATATATATATATATATATATATATATATATATATATATATATATATATATATATATATATATATATATATATATATATATATATATATATATATATATATATATATATATATATATATATATATATATATATATATATATATGTTTGAAAAATATAATATTTATATTTGTCTCATATTTATACGAATATCCGTTAAGTCGATAATCTATTAATTTAAAGATATCTACCGATATTTACAGATATTTATAAATAATATTTTTTTTAAATTAGTTTTTAAAAACAAAATTATTCAACTTCTTTTAAAAACACAAAAAATTATTATCACATAAGATCCGTTTAATTTACTCTTATTTTAACAACTAAATATTGTCACATTAATTTCCTTCACAAATTTAATTTTCTTTTTTAAATAACTTAAACTAATAAATTTAAATAAATTTATAATTTATTAACAAATACATATATCTGCAGATAAATATCATTAAACTCGTATATATTTTCATTAAAAATCAAATATTTAAATATTTATATATTTTATTTGTAGATATTTATTAAATTATTCTCTTCTTACTCATGATAGATTTTATCTGTAGATATAGATTTATTTACTATCCCTATTCTTAACACATTATTTTTTATAAAAAAAATTATGATAAATTATTACTAAACTAAAATTAAAACTAAATTTCAAAGGAAAAGTATATAAAACAATATTTCAGAATTTAATTTCATTGAAAAACACCACTTGCATATTACATTATAAATATTTAGGGTTTGTTAAAATTAAATGGCCCTGGGCCTCTTATTGAAAAACAATAAAATTGTAAAGTTGTACTAACTACACTCCCCTTTAATATGAATAAAAGTCTTTCAACATAGGTGACCTCCTTCTCTCTCATGAGTTGATAGTACTTCATATCAATACTCAGGCACAATAAGAACCTCCAAAATCTAATGGGACATGTGAGTTCTGGAATCAGTGCTTTAAGAATGCTGAGTTTGGTTTAGGATGAGGTAAAAATTTCGTGAGAGAGAGGGCAAAATTCGTTGGAGATAGTTGGTTTAGTGAGGGAAATATTAGGAGTCGTGGAATCCAATGTGGGATGGTTGGGATAGAGGGTTTGGAGTTATTGAGAAAAAAGGCTGAATTTTTAGTAGTGGAGGTTGTTCAGGGTGTTCGTGGTGCGGTTTTGACGATTTTGACTCTAAAAGTTTTTTGAACTGTAAAAAAGAAAATATGTGTTTCAATTTGGTTTGATTGATTTTTAGAAGTAAAATTGAACCAAATTAATACGATTTAAATTGATTTAATTTTTTACAAGATTTTTATTAAGTCATACATAAATATATAGAAGACAATATAACTTTATATTATCATTTATACATTATTAAATTACGAAAAACAATATCAATGAATACAACTTACAACATTTCAGCACCAAATAACAATGTATATTACAAAATACACATCACCTAAACTAAAACTAGGTCACCCATCACGACATAACTCAGAAACACTCCAATCTTATATTAGATCTTAAAAATACAACACATTCTCCTAAGACAACAAGAAAGCATCTTTTGCTATTAAGCATCTGAACTGCAAAAGAAAAAATATGTGTTTCGGTTTGGTTTGATTGACTTTTAGAAATAAAATCGAACCAAACCAATGTCATTTGGATTAGTTCGTTTGGTTTGATTTTTTATAAGATTTTTATTGAGGCATACATACACATATAGAGGACAATATAATTTTGTGTTTAATCATTTATACATTATTAAATAACAAATAACAATGTCAATGAGTACAACTTACAACATTTCAGCACCAAATAACAATGTTTATTATGAAGTACACATCACCTAGACCAAAACTAGGTCACCCATCACACGACATAACTCAGAAACACTTCAATCCTATACTAGATCTTAAAAACACAACACCTTCTCTTAAGACAATAAAAAAAACACATTTTGCTACTAGAAAACTCAGTCACAACAACACTAAATTCTTACGTTTAAATGATGATATCAAAATATCCTTCATTAGAACTTCTTACATATCACAATCGAAGAGGTCAATACGTAAAAACAATTGAAAAGATTTGAAAGGGACAAACATACATTTAAAAACATGTCATTTCATTTTTCAATCACATCTACTAATCAAATTCAATATTAAAAAGTCCTTATTTCATTGTGGAATTTGAGTCATTTCTAATAATATATCAAATATATTAATATAATGCAATTTGGTTTGATTTGCAAAATACAAATAACAAATTGAACCGAACCGCGAGGATTTTTTAAAATATGGCCTAAACACATCTGAACCAAATGCAATTTTTTACAATTTTCGGTTTGCCTCAGTCTGGTTATCAATTTTCTTTTGGGTCGGTTCCATTTTGAACACCCTTAGACATGATGGGAAGCCTACTCTCCCACATCAGACTTTTCCACTTTTGCTTTTACAAACTGAAGGCTTATCCAGAAGAAAAAAAACAACACGACAATATGGACGGCCTGACAATCTCAATCCTCGTTTCATTAAGTGACAACAAGAACTTGGGGGCAACTGTTACAGATCGGCCACAATTTCAAAGCAACAGGACCAATTACAAAGGTACAGTCCAGAGCTCCACCAAGTATGACATATGATCAGGTAGAACCTCGTCAGAAAATTGAGTATCTGATCCTAGTCGCTCAAGCATCGTCTTCTGTTGGATCTAGTCGGATGACTCCCCAGCACGTGGTGGGTTAGACAAAGGCGGTTTTAATCATTTGTCATATATAAACTCTATCACACACTGTTTGCGGGTATTATCTCACTCTCACTCTCAAACTACATCTCTCTAACTTCATTGACTTTGGCGTTGAAGTGTTAACTTTGCACGTTCTCCTCACTCCGTCGTACCTAGAGCTCCCATCACTGCAAGAGCTCTTTCTCCCGACCGCTCCTTTTCTCGTTCCTCCACATGAGAAGGAGCAAAGTTTATTGTGAAATAATATATTAATCATGTAAACACCCACACGGTGTCTGAATTAACACATAACAAATTACAGTTTCATACGTATTATCTTTAAAGCATTGGTACTTTTAAAATAGTAAAATATCAATATCGGTTACACATCCGTACCGAATACACATATAGTACTCGTGGTACTATATTTTTTTAATTATTTAATTTCAAAATGAAATAATTTTTTCAAATATCAATATAATATATTTATGTATTTTAATTTCTTCGTTATTGTATCTTAATATTGTTTTTGATATTTTTTAATTTTTATATTGATGTTTTGTTGTTAACTTAACAATTCATATCTCTACTCATACTTTTTTTTCATAGAAAACGTACCCATATCTTAATTTTTTTTTTAAATTTATCTTTCATGAAAATTGCGTGCATGCAATTATAGTTCACTATTATTGAGCTCTATACAAATGTAATTAAAACTAATTGGGTAAACTCTGAATATAATGCACTTGTAAATACTCTTCCAGAAAAATCAACTTTCAGATTCCTGGAAAGTAATCTTACACAGCTCTATTTAGCTGGGTAATTTGTCATGCTTTTGAGAAGTATAAGCAATAAAAAAGTAATATAGTCAATGATGGAAACCCAGTTAATATCATGTGATTACTCACAAGATCCACATTAGCATGTGATGGAAACACTAGAAGTATCACAAGTATGGGATTTGGTGAAGGATCACATGACATACTCCTTCATTCCATGTTCTACTACACAAAACAACAAAGATAGGACAGGTCCAATAATCCATTATCAATACACCTTCCTTCCCTTTCCT